TTACATACTAATGTATCGTAGTTGACTCTAGGTACATACTACTAATATAGTCCTTCTATCATCAAGGAGCTGAAGCCTTTGACTCTAGCGTGTGTCCTCTCGTCCACTCCTTTTCCATCCGTTTACATGAATACCTCAGGTATAGCACTGACCCGGTACGCATGTGGTGCCTCACGTATGAGACCGTCGCGTATAGACAGGCAGCGCTGAACGTCATCAGTGCGTTCATGATAAAGGTGGTCACTTCGTATTTTCGTAAAGGCACGCAGACCCAACAATGCTATGGGTGCATCTAATATTACTGCATATTGGCTATATTGATGGCAATTCCAACTGCTGACGAGATACTGCTATCTGGAGCCAGCAAAGGCAGATCAATATATGTTTGACAATGTTTGTTCCTAGATAGACTTACTGCTGTCTGCGGCTACCATAAAATCTTATGATGGTGCTATTGTCATACATCTGGTAGCTCAATAAATGCTGTGAAATCATTAACGGTCGCTATGATGATACAGCAGGACTCACCGAATGCTATGCGTGATACTCGCACTGTCCTTGGGAGACGTTGAACGTATGAACGCCGCCAGTGCAGATTATATGACGGCTACCACTTGCTATGTAAAACATCCAGCCGAAGAAAGAAGGGCTTGTGAGGAAAAATTTCGATCAATGTGCGGTCCGCAGAAACCACATTGTCTGAGGGACGATGAGTAGGCGCATTTGTCTGAAGGAAAACAATGAACTGTACCAGTGTATTTCTGCATGGGAACACCTAAGCCTGGGCAGGACGTCTAAGGAGCTGATGCTTCTTGTCTGTCACAAGTTCGTTCTATAACAGGATGCCTCTTATACGACTCGAGAACTGCCCGGTTTTACAATTGAATGTATCCGTTCCTAATGTCAAAGTGCAAACGTAGAGGCCTCTCAGCACGGTGCATCGACATGTCGACCCAGCTCGTTTCAAAGTCTCGTTTCGTTTGATGCAGTTACTGAACCCGTTTGTGAGATCGCAGTGATGCATGCATGCAGCATACACGGTTCACTGAAGATATAGAGTTTGAGTATGGCTTAAGGGCCTATGTCACAGTTTTTCTGTGCCACAAGTCTCAAGCGCCAAGGACTTTATTTCATCCACCCATATACCATATACAGAATGTATCACTACGCCTCCACATGTATACCTAAGTATACCCATGCCACTCGGACATTCCTCGGACATGTACCAGTCACGTGACCCTACATCATAGTGACATCACAGGCCTGGACTTCATAGACACTCCTAGACTTAGACGGACTCCACTAGGCCTGAGCACACCATAGCATGCCATAATGATGTATTAGTACAAATCTAGGGTACGCAGGATCCTATACCCGGTACCAGGGGTCTAGGTCCACATCTATATATACTGGCTCGAGCTGAGGCCTCCACCTCAGTTTCGAGTTGATCTTTACTTCTCCACTTAAGCCAAAGAACCCTGACGGGTTAAGCGAGAGTGGACTCAAGGAGTTCTTGAGATCCTTCACATAACTCGAAACTACTCCTCTTGATCTGTGGGCACCGGTCATCGCCTCAGATCGTATACCTCTGACGATCAACTCTATCTCTATCGTACTCACCCAAAGCTACTCCCCGCATTCCTTGGGCTTAGCTGCACCCTGCTGAACCTCTTCGGTGAAGCGAATATGTGAACTGTCAGTCAGGATACATAGGCCCTAAACCAGCCTCCTGCGAAAGTTGGCACAAGGCTTCGGCTGTGAGCTGTCACAAACTTGCCGTGACCCCAGGCATAAGTGACTTTGCTAAACACAGCCAGTTAAAATTAACTGGGCCGTTAAGAAGGGCCAGAGAGCCTGACGATGACAGAACTGCTGTGGTAAAGGGACACAGTACTCCTTCAAAGGGTACTGCTATCATCTACATCACAGCAACTAGGCAGCTCCTGTATTGGACTGACCAGTGGTGTAGCCTGAAGGCAGACTGCTCGTCCATATAAAATAT